TTATACAGTTTCCATACATATATACAGAATGTTTTAAGCGGTTCTAAACAGCGTTGTGTGCAAAGTAAGCGTACGCATGGTGGAGGCAATATGCTGCTAAAAATAAGTCTCATTTTTTTCTACGGTGGCATTTTTATATCAAATCTTATCTTTAGCATTGTTCCCAGGCAGGCAGTTAATAAGTTTCTGAGATTAGGGTCGAGATAGCCAGGTTGGTAGGGCACTGGGTCCATGCCAAAGTGGTCGTAGGTTCTATTTCCGCCGATCGAAGACTCCCCGTGTGGTAAATGGTGACTGATGCAAGTTAAATCTGTTGAGTGTCAAAGTCCTCCCTGTTCCCATTACAAATTACATCTCTGGGGGTACTGATCCAGGAGTTTCTTTGTCTTCTGGATTGGTTCAAAATGAAAAGGCTTCGGAGTTGAACATTACTAGTCGCAAACCCAAAAATTGGGTCGGCTGTTCAACGACGTTTATAATATAAAATAAAAAGAAAGTTTCTGAGAAATCAATTTTATGAGCATAATATATAGAACAATCTTAATATTTATATCTATATCCTAAACATTTGAGAATGTGGCTTATCATTACAATACCCAGAGATTCTCATACTCATAATGTGTTTGTGAACATCTATTTAATATAATATTATTCAAGTAATTGATTCATAAAATGAATGAAGTTTAATTCTCAAATTTTTTTAATTAATTAAAAAAACTTTATTTCTTCATTTTTTAAAACTTAAATACCAATCACTGTTAATCATGTATTTATTGATATTTTATCTGTTCAAATGTTGTTAATACGAACTTTAGTCAGTTCGATGTTGTGTAATTTTACACAAGCACAAACTTCTAAGTCAATTCGAACTTTTAATTTTACACTTAAGCTAGAATTACTAAAGGTTCACTATATCTTGAACATTGAAAATATTGTGACAGTTTTTTTTTCCGTTTATAAACCAACATAGGATGGCTTGCGACCGAGTACTAATCCTGCTTTTTGGTACGTTTCTGATGATGGAAAAGAGGTGAAATTCTCTTATCAAGAATTGGAATACAGCACTAAAAAGTAAGTCTTTATCGTGAACACAGAAGATATAATTATGCAGAGTTAAAAATATTGTTATTGCTTTGAAATATTACTTGTAGTTTATTTTTAGAAAAGTTCGGAATACTTATAACAAACGGTTTTTCTCACCTGTTTAGATTTAAGAAAAAAATATTAAATTAAAATTGTGACATACGTTAGGATATATCTTTGTTTAAGTTCAATATTTTATTTTGCGATTTCCAATAAAAGTTTATTGAAGAAAAGTGTGAATTAGCTTTAAAAAATTCGAAACCTTGAATAAGATGTAAATTAAATCTAAACACCAGAATTTCGCTTACACTAAATTCTCACATAATAAGAGAATTATTTTCATTTTCGAAACCACGGATGTGGTGGTGCACTTTTTTTCTAGAATTATTTTTATCTTATTCTTATTATTTTATTTTTTTCCTTATCGAGAAGACCAGGCAAAGCTGTTAATGATAAGTTATGATTTGATTGAATGAATTGTTCGTCGTTAAAATAGGTATGTACGTTTTAAATTCTGTAATAAGGATAACTATAATTTATATTTAAATTTCTGTGATCTATTAAGGGATTTTAAAGTGCCTCTCTACCCGATATCTTACAATTTTCCACATAAAACGCATACATTTCAGCGCTTGAGAATTCAGAGAAATAGTTTTTTTCAGTGTTAGTAAACTAAAGTCAAAACTTTTAAAATCCATACAATTTTCATAAATCTTCAATCAGAACTTTAATGGCCACTTATTTATCTGATCTGTTATATATATGTTTAAAGTATCTTCATGTAATCAAGGGCAACACTAATTATTAAAAAATTTCCAGTTTATATTAATATGCAGGTTAACTTTTGCTAACGCTAGGAGATGTAATTAGGCAAATTTCTTAGTAATTAGAAGGCTTAGGAACCTCAGTTTTTATTTATTTGGTGTAGTAGGTACAGTGAAACCTCAAGGAAAGAGTGTCCTCTATTTACAACCACTTTTGGGAGACACGGAATTTTTTCCACAGACTTTCTGTTGAAGAAAACCTTTAGGAGTGATCATCAAATCCTCTCCCAGCGACCGGGCAAACCTTCGAACCAGACAGGAAAAGGTCAAATATGGAAAAAATAAAAAAAATTAAAAAATTAAAAATATTAACAAAATAAATAAGTAGTTTCAAATGTATTCCAAACGTTTGTGAGTGGCACTTATTTAGATAGCTCTTTTTGACGATGATTTAGAGTTATAAGTTAAATTAGAAAGAAAAAAAAGTTCTTTTAGTAAAAACTAAGAATCGCAAACAAATCTCTCTTTTTTTAAAGCAAACTATGTTTTATGATAAAAAATTTATTGCAAACTTTAGCAAAAGAACATAGTTATTTATTTTAAATATCAGTAGGGGTCATTTTTATTGACCCTGATTTTTATTCATCATTCCGGTTTTCATGACGCCAAGTGGCATTTCCGCACCAAGAAAATAACACCAAGAAAAATTAGAATCCCTTGTGAAAAATCATGTACCTTCGATAACATTTGAAGTCAATGGAAGAAACCTCAAAGAACGACCAACTTCCTTTAAAGACTTTACTCGGGAGTGGTCGCTCCCGAGAGGTTTCACTGTTATATCATTAAATACCATTTTACTATAGCTAGACACCGCTTTTGCAAAGAGTAGTTGAATCTTTTCAGAAGTCAAAACGGAGAAGCAGCTTTTAAGTAAGCACTCGATATATTTAACAAACCATTATCCATAACTGCATAATTTTTCATTCCGTTTTGCAGGATCGCCAGTATATTTGAACAGCAATGCGGTATAAAACGTGGTGATTGCGCAATTGTCATGCTTCCGAAAATTCCAGAATTTTGGTTAGTCAATATAGCAGCTATAAGAGAAGGTAAAGAACCTTCATTTCATCACATATTTATTTCCTTTAGCTTCAGTAGTGGAAATAATTAAAAAAAGAAATAGGCAGTGCAATGAAAAAAAAAAAAAACTTTTGATCTAATAATTGAATTTTAAACACATTTATTTTTATTTCATTTCATAACCGTTGTTAAATAACCGACCCAATTTTTGGGCTTACGACTACCAATGTTCAACGCTGTACTCTTGTAATTTTGAACCCAATCCAGAAGACAAGAGAACTCCAGGATCAAGTATCTGGTAAAATTTTGCCTTCGTGGTGGGATTTTTGATTGAACTAACCCGCATTTGGGTCACATGGAAAGCCGCGAAAACCTCCCAAGATTAGCTTGATGGCAAGGCGATTGTAACTCATGATCGGTCTATCACTGAGGATATTTCATGCCAGCACTGTTGTCGTATGTTGTCGCTGCCAGTAATGTTGTTGCCAGTATTGTGGCCAGTAATGTTGTCGCTGAATTCGTATCGACCAGCAATCACTGGGATTCAAACCCGGTTCACCTCATTGGAAGGCGAACGCTCTATCTCCTAAACCATCGCCGCTCAAACATATTTATTTGTTAGAGCGACATCTTTGAAGGATACTTAATTAGTATACTTACCTATTACCAATCTTGAAGCAGCATAATTTAGAGAATTATGGAACCAATTTGAAATAGGTTAAAAATTTTAAATTTTACTGTCATTAGTACATTTTTGCATTTTTGAGCTTAATGGTTTGCCCACTAACGTACTACATAACTGTCTCTTTCTTTTCTGTTTTATTAAAAGTGGTATCTAGGGCCACTCCATTGACAATATTAAAAATTTATTTAAATATTCATGAAAACCGTGCTCAAATGTTAGAAATTCAAACGTGAAAGTAAAATTGTACCAGACAACCCACACTATTTTGAATAAATAACTTGTTATCGTAATTATTGTGATAATATTTTTTCGTAATTTTGAAAATATGCTCGCAATAATTTAGGTTATGATTTTAATCTGAGTTTTTGGATGTGCAGAAATTATGCAAATAATTAATTCTTCCTTATTATGCAAATTATTATTTTTATATACAAATGAGTTTTGTGCTACTTAATTAAATTGCTTTTTATAATCGTTTGATAATTTCTAGGTTTCGCTCATTTTTTTACTGAAATAGTGTATAAAATGTCATTATTCTATTTTTATTGTAATTACTCTGATTAAATAGTATTTAACACTGTTTATGTAGTAAACTTTTCCAGAAGTCATATTTCATAGTAATATAAACTAATTCATTAAATATTTCATTCAGGTTTCGTATTTGCTCCAGTCAATATGATGATGACACTAAAAGACTTAGAACATCGCTTCAAATCTCTTCAACCTTCAAGTGTCATTGCTCACGAATCTGTCACTGATATTATTGACGAAGTATGTTTGTCCATAATAACTGCTTTCAAATGTGTTTTTCATTGAGATATTATTGATATCAAAATGGACGAATAACAAATTAAACAATTCATAAAGTATAATAAAAATTTGTTGGGTTGCTCGGAAAGTAATTTAGTTTTTCCCTTATGAAAATTAAGGACTATTTTCTTATAGTGAATAAATATTTTATTGAATTTCTGGCCTAATAATTTTTTTCTTCTCTATTAGATATTATCACAACTTAAATCTTATTTTATGCTTGAAGAAATTAAAATAAGTTTTCATGTTATTAGTTATGTCAAATGAATAGATTTTCAGAAACGCATGCCAACTTATTATTAAGTACTGTTTGAATTTCAGTGAGATTCTTTAGATTCTTCATCAAAAAAATAAACTGGCTTTTAATAATTTTAATGGCTTTTCTATGATAATGGGTTCCTCCAACTAACTATTGATTGGCTACATAATTACTGATTGACCTTTATGGTAATTCGTTTCGATATTGATAACGTTCGCTTAATTTTTTTCACTTAAATACACTTGTGACGGTTTTTTTAATTCTGAAAAATATGCACTTAGGGTGATGATTACTAGACACACCTTGCATATTTATTTTTGATTTTTTCCCTTCACGATTTATACTTGTATAATGATTTTTAGGAACAAGAGTTAAGATTGGCTTATATGCTTAACTTATTTATTGAATTTGGTATTTAGGTTATTTTGTTTTTAATTTTCTTTTTCAGGCTACAAAATCGGTCCCTTCACTGAAAAGTAAAATAGTAGTTTCAGAAAAACCAAACAGGTACTGTGAACATGCTAATGTGAATATATTTTGCCTACAGCAGTGATTTCTAACCTGACTTAAGTCATGGAGCACATTACCATTTTTCCCGTTGAAAAGTAGAGATAGATAGATAGACAGACACAGATAGATATAAATAGATTGGATAGATATAAATAGATATGGATAGATTTAAATAGATAGAGATAGATAGGTAAATATAGATAGATATGAATAGATTGGATAGATATAAATAGATATGAATAGATTGGATAGATATGAATAGATATAGATAAATATAGATATATATTAAATAAATATCGATAGGTATAAATATGTAGAGATAGATAGATGGATGGATGGATAGATGGATAGATAGATGGATAGATAGATGGATAGATAGATGGATAGATAGATGGATAGACAGACAGACAGACAGACAGACGGACGGACGGACAGACAGACAGACAGACGGACGGACGGACAGACAGACGGACGGACGGACGGACAGACAGACAAGTGCAAGGCGTGATTGTAATAACAAAAGCAGTTACAAACAAGTATAGTGGGATTGTCGTCAAACAAACATTACAAAGATACAATTTTTTATTTTTAAGACTAATTGCTGTTTTAAAACTGTTCTCATTAAGTTTTGAAAAAAAAAGAACGTGTGGAATGTTTGACCGATGGGCAAGGGTGAACTTATTCATGGGATCACCCATTTGTGTAAATCGTTTACTTGTAATTAAAGGGTCCTTTGAAACGGGAGAAATTATTTATGAAAAATCCCAGTAAATATTGGATAAATTTATATAAATTTTGAAGAAAAAAATAATTGAATAGGTAAATTACGTAATTAAAAAAATTGATATCAATATTCGAAAACTATGCATTTTAAAATTCAATTCCATTTTTAAAAGAAATTTCCATCGTTGCATTTGTGAATGTAATGCTTTATTCTTCCTTTTATTTTTATTTATTTATTTTTTTTCGTTTGAAAGTTATCTTTAAAATCAGAATAGTTTATCTATGACTTATTGTATTTTTCTGCTTAATTTTAATATTTGAAAATGCAAATTTTTTTCTGCTTTATTCGACAATTTAATATTTACTCTTATTATTATTTTAGGAAATCTGAATGGTTTGATTTGAATCATTGTAAGTCAGACGTAGCTAATCATAAGGTATACATTCTTCAATTAAAAGATGATTTTGCTATTCTTTTTAAAAGTTTTTTAAAATTTGTCTGGCACAAATGTCGTGAAAACTGCATGAGAAGTGATTTCTATATTTTATGAAATGTGCATTACATCTTGATTTTAAGCAGATTCATAAGAAAATACGGAATATTTTAAAAGGTATCCAAAAAAATTCGAAGGAGTTGTTAGAGATTTTTTTCTTATTTTTTGTTTTGTTTCATTCATACTCAAAAATTTATCAATAGTTGATTTTGTAATTCAAAGAAATTTCAATGATGAATTACTTCTTTTAGATCTAAACAACGGAAAATAAGTGCAAATATAAAAAATTATTATTTGGGAAATTTTACCTTTAACTCAAAAAGCGAAATCAGTGTCCCATGCTGTATTTCGTAACTATAAATTATTGAAATGCTAATTGCAATATTTTTCACTTATTTTGACTTTAATTAATGCAAAGTAAGGAAAAAAGTAAGTATAAAATATATGTTTACTGAAAATTCAGAGTCGGTGAATTAAGCAAAAATTAAATAAAATTAAATAAATAAATAAATAAATAAATAAATAAATAAGAGCATGAAAAATTAAGGATGAAGCTGTTGACTATATCCGATGGTAGATATCCCTAATAAATAATTACACTTCATAAGGGGAATTTAAAATACCTATAATACTTCGCTTTCTTGTGTCATTTTAAAACCACCACTGCAATTATGTTTGTGCCTTGAAACTAATAATTTTAGAAATAAAAATTATAAAACTATCGATGACAATTTACTGTATAGTACAATGAACATTAAAGAAGTGCATTCCAAATTTTTTCTCTATTAAGATCAGACGCCGCCATTATTAAAGACCACGTCGTTATTTAGACTCGTTTCTAAAAAAAGCTTCTTTGGAATGAAAAAAAATATTTATACTGTAAAACTTTCAATTTTTGCCTATATTTATGAGTTAACATTTTTAGTGTGCAACGACCAGAAGTGATGAGACTTTGATGATATATTTTACGAGTGGAACAACAGGATATCCTAAAATGGTAGAACATACTCATGCCAGCTTCAGTTTTAGTATCCGAGACTACGGAAAGTAAGTTTTAAATAATGCAGTTCATTCAATATACCACGCACTCGCGTGAAAGTACATACACACTGATATCCATCGTCGACGTTTCAGCGTATTGCATTATCTGCGCGTGGGCAGAATGTAAATTTTCAAAAAATTATCCGAGAGTGCTTGCGTAGAGGATACAATACGATAGTACGCTCATGTTGGCGCTCACTGTGAACGTACCCTAAGGGCGCTTTTTCATTACACGACACGATACCGACAAAATCGGACGACAAATGTGTGAACGACAATGTCGTTGCCGGATCGTTTAAGCAATTGTTTTTTCACTTGTCCGATATCGTTAGTCCGAGAAGTAGAAATTCTTGTTCATTCAATGTTTTGAGCTTGAGTGTGTAGAGACATAAAATTTAAATAATTTATTTGAACGTGTTTTGAAAAATTATAAGTTTTAGTTTTGAATTCGTTTTGGCAACGGAGTTAGATATATAATAAATGTTGTTGTGTTCTAAAATGTTTAAGAAATAAAATATGTTATTTTTTTGATAAAATTATTGGTAGTATCGTAAATTGGCGTTCAT